CTACTTCATAACTGTAATTTTGCTACTGTTAATGAATCGTAATGTAAATATCTGTGTTTTCCGATGGTCTTAGGCTCTACCTAAGCAGCAGTTCTCAACCTGTGGGCTGAGAGGGACAATGTGTCTGAGCCTTTATTTCCTCCCATTAATTTTCTCCCAGTTAACTCCAACCTTTGTCCCCACAGGTGTCCAAAATGCCACTGGACTGTCCAATAGAACTCTTTGCAGTGACAGAAATGTTTTCTGTGCTGTTCAATATGCTGGTTGCTAGCCCCATGTGACTACTGGGCAATTGAAATGTGGCTAGCATGCCTTAGGAGTTGAATTTTTAATGTTAGTTACTTTGAATTTAAATAGCCACATGTGACTAGAGGCTACCGTATGGATAATGCAGCCCTAGACTATAGCTTCGTGGAGGCTGATACAGAAGTCTCTGCTTTCTCCATATCTTGCCATAGCCTCGAGTCAGGTGTGGGCACTTGGAGGGTCCTCCATAGATGCATAAGACTGATTAACCAAGCCAAGCGATTGCAGTTTGCACGAAGTCTTGAATGGCCCTGTTCAGCGAAGGTTAAATAACAGACCCCTTGTAGCTGCGAGGTATCCTGGAGCAAAATGGAGTTAACCCCGGGCACTGAGAATGCAGTGCCGCTCGCTGCATTATCTGCAGCAGGCCTGGCTTCATTATCCAGATCATCATCAAGCCTGTCCCTGCCCGGGTGGGCATGTGTGGCTGGTCATTGTTTGTGTAAATAAGGATGGCCCCCTCATCTTCCTGCTCCTGCCCTTGCCTTCTAAGTCCATGGCCTCCATCCTGGTCCACTGCTCACTTGGGTACATGCTAAGATGGTACAGGCTTGGAAAGGGGAGAGAAAAGCCCACTCCAGGAGCTGAGCAGACAGAATACGTTCTTGCTGGACAGCTTCGAGAGAATCATCCCTTCTACCACTGTAGTCAGGAAACCTCAGGAGTAATTGAGGTCTTCTCAGATCTGAGCATCTCCATGAGCATGTGTCGCCGCTCTCTCCCAACAGGCCCGTGGTCCTCAGGCGGATGACATGTCTCCCCCCATTGTCATCAAGATGATCAAAGCTCTGCCATCTTTAAATTGGATCCAGCGGGTTGGGATTTGGGGGTTGTATTTCAGCGGAGGTCCCGTAGCTTATCGATAAAGGCTCCCCTGCTTCTGAGTGAGCCTTGGAGCTCAGTTTGCAGATGATATCGCCTCTTCTCAGGGCATTTATTATGCTGTGTGCGCCACCTGGAGGCCACTGTCTTAAATGCAGCCTCAGACCCAGCCCCAACCTGTCCTCTCATTCTTTTCCTCCCTCATTTTTTCACGTCAAGGAAGAGACTTCAAAGAATCTGCCTATGCCGAGTAGACTCCATTCTGCTTCTACCTCCTCGGAGTTGGCTTTCTGTGACCCCAAACCCTTCTGACACGGAGTCCTCCGCCTGAGGGAGACTCCCCAACCAGGAAGTTGTTTTAACTCTTCCCAGCCCCTCCCGGTCAAAGGGAAAGAATTTCTCAGACTCATGAAAGACAAGCCTTCAAAAAGACAATGTGGGGCTTCCTGCTTACATCCCAAACCTACAGGAGCTCTGGGCCATGAGATAGCTGAGGCTGGTTCTCTGTGTGGGCCCAGTGGCTGGGATTGAAGATCCAGTCCACCTCACCCACCTTCTGAGGTCACATCTGTACCACACACCACCGTGGGTGCCCCAGATGTGAACACCACCTTAAGGGAACTGGTATCAAATTTTCTATTGGGGTTGTTGCTGTTTGTTTAGTTTTATTGTGGTAAAATATATATATATAACAAAATTTGCCACTTTATCCAATGCCCAAAGCTGTGTAACCAGCACCACTATCCATTTCCAGAGCTTTTTTTGTAATTCTCAACAAAAAACTCCATGCCTGTTACAGAGTAACACCCCATCTCTCCCTCCCCCAGCCCTGGTAACTTCTATTCTATTTTCTGTCTCTCTGAACTTGAGTATTCTAGATGGTGGAATCACCCAGTTTTTGCCCTTTTGTGTCTGACTTAGCCCAATATTTTTACTTGTGGCGGATTTACGTAGGATTTAGAGACCCGGATTCCTTTTCTGTTTACTCTGGAGTGCAGCTGGGAAAGAAGTCGGCAACATGAACCTAAACCTTGCCCTTGAGCCACTGCCAGCCCTGGCTGTGCTCTTGGGCTGTGCTAGACAGGGCTGGGCTGGGCTGGGCTGGGCTAGGCTGGGCTGGGCTGGACCGAGCCTCTGAACACTGCTGTGGTGTTGAGGAGAGAAGCCGCTGCTCAGAGCTCTCCAAACAAACAAGGGTGGGCCCACTGTTTTGGGGGCCCAGGCGAATCAAGTGCTTAGTGGGGATTTCCTTGCCCAGAGATCCTGAAAAGGCTGTCGCTGTGAAATTGGATGATTCAGGGATCTTGCCCCTGCAGAGTCTCTGGGTAACTAGAGAATCTGACCCGGGAGACTCTGAGCATTTGGATGTGTTGGTGGGATGGTTACTTGTGTCTGGGGACAAGCTGAGGATTTGAAGGGGTGGTACCCCTCTCTGCACCCCTCTCTTTGCCCATCCTACGGAGAGCTGGGTGGGGTGTGCACTTCACGGTCAGTGTTTTCGCGACCTAACAAAAGGGAACGTCTTGTAGAAACAGCTATTGCTATATGTGTAGTTTCAGTTATTTTCATATTATGAAACTGCAATTCGGAAAATGCCGCTTCCAGGGGAGAATGGGGATTGGAGCACTGGAGTGAGCCAGGCTAATAGTAACAACTAACATTGATGAGCATTTAATGGTGTAGAAAGCACTCCTCATAGACACGATCTCATTTCTCATCCCAGAGAACACCAAGAAGAAGGAAGGGAGTTAGTAAGTGGCATCACATAGTTTCCAAAAAGCGATGATCATCTCAGAGCTGTAAATGCACTTCAAACCTGAGATACCTCCTTGGCTGGTATCTCAGTAGGAGAAATTTTTTTTGGTTGTTTTTTTATAAAAGCATATTTGACTGGGAATTACTAGTCTAGCAGATGTAATAGGTGCAGGACCTGGGCTCCTTACACTGACCTCTAGGCCGAGGACTTTTAGTGAATAAGTGGGAAATATTGAGTTAAATAATGTTCACATTTTTTTTTTTTGCAGGATTTCTTAGATCCTTTCTGTGGTGTCCATTATGTTATACACACCGTGACTTCCCACAGGGAGGCTAGAGCAGATAACGCTTCTCACTCACAGTTGAGTGGGGATCGTGGCCCTGGGCCCAAGGAGAGAGCAGAACCACCAACCAGTAGGAACAGGGAGGTGCAGGAAGTTGGAAATCAAGGCAGAATGGTCTGAAGCCTGGAGCAGAATAATAGCAGGAGGGTCCTGGAGTGAAAATAGAACGTGTCTGGAGGCAAATGGTCCAGCGGCAGAGCTTCCCGTGCCGTCTGGGTCTTTTCCAACTACCAGGTTGACAGCACTGGGATGGGGAAAACCTGCACACCCTCAGGTTCACGGGCGAGTCCCTCACACTGGCCACACGCCTTCCCATGGGAAGGCAGGCACTGCATGTCCTCTAGCCCTATGGGTATCTCATTACGAGGAGCCATCAACACAGGCCAGGAGGCCCCTCAGTCACGTTTTTTTGTATGACATGTTTATTTGAATGGGGCTTATCTTACGCAAACACTAGAGGCCCAGTGCACAACATTCGTGCATTCATGGTGGAGTGGGGGGCCTCAGCCTGGCCTGTACTCTTTAGCAGTCTGGGAGCTCTCAAGGCATGTCTGCCTGACGGCTTAGGCCCACCATCCTTAGCTCTGAAGCAGAGGCGGGAGAAGCTCCCGTCACCACTGCTGCATTTGCCAGCCGTGAGCCTGGCTTCTGGTTGAGCAGGGCTCCCCCTGCATTGAACATCTGCACCCTGGTGGTCAGTGTGCATCATACTGACCGGTCCTTCTGCTGTTTGGTTGATTTGCATATTAGCCTTTTATTATATAGAATAAAGGTTGTCCAATGTTGCTTTTGTAGCCTCTTACATTAGATTCATTGTACCAGCTGCCACTCTGGAAAGCTTTTTGTGTGCCAACCGCTGTCCTGAGCAGCCTAGAGCAATGTTTTTCATCTGACTCACACACACAAAAGAAAACCTTTGCGAAAGATTTGATTATTTTCTTCATTTTACAGGCGAGGAAACCATGTCTTAGCAATGTTAGGTGTCTTGTTGATTCTACAGTTAGTAAGGTGATAGAGCCCAGACCCCAGATGTTAACCTAAGTAATATAGAGGTTCCAGGTTAATCCATGAGGATTTACTGCCTCATCATATTTGGAAAAGATTGTTAGTTGCCTCACCTTCCCATTCATTCTCTCTAGCTACTTTCCCAGAAGAATCTTTGATTTTAGGAAGATCTTCCAGAATCCCTTTCAGCCTGGCACATTCAATGAGACATAAGCAGACATTGTTGGCTCTAGTTACTGGGAACTCTACTTAAAAGTCTACTCTGCTGCAGGGCAAACCTTGTTGACCTTCTCCTGCTTCCTCCTGGCTAAAACTTAGAGGTGATGGCTAGAGCTTCAGCAGCCATTTTGGAACATGAAGTCCTTGGGAATGGACATCACTTATTAAAAGGAGGTCAAGGCAGGGAGATAGAAGTTTGCACCAATCATAGAACCAACATACCCACAATTGACTGCATAAACAAATTAGCCTTTATTGTATTCAAAACACTTTCATTTGGGTTTTCCATTCTATGAAGATGAAGCTAAGCCTAACAGATCTCCAAGCCATATCTCAAATTGTGTTTCCTGGTCTTAATTTCCACTGGCCTGTCCCATCACTGAATAATTTCCTCCGTCAAGCCCTGTTTCCCTCTCACACCCCATTCCCCTGGGAACCATGTTCCCTCCCTGTCTGACTCAAGTCCTCGGTCCCAGTGACCTCGTCCACACCCACCCAGCCTCTCCCATCCTAAATCCAGCAATTAATACCAACGCCACACATCTGGGCCCTGTGTTCTTGTCAGCACCATTCACAATAGTGTTAGGATGTTTTATACTAACGACTGCTTGGGGAGAAGCATGGTTTCATGTAACAGCACTGCCCTGGTAGGAAAATAGAGGTGACTCTGCCCTTTGCAAGCTGCAGGGCTGTAAGGGGAGAAACTCCACAGGAGCCTGAGACCCCCTGACTTGGCCAGTAATGACTTTTTCATTTTATAGGAAGCAGATGAGATTTTAATGGACTGTGACTGCTGTCTATTTTCTTTAAGCAACATACACTGAGGCCCAGGTGCCCCTTGCAGGAGCTATGATGCATAGTCAGAAAGAGGAAGGTAAAGTTTGCATTCCTACTTGAATGTTTTCTTTCAGAAACCCTGATTTTTTGTGTGTTTTTTCTCACCTGAGGATAATTGTTTCATTGATTTTGAGAGAGAGAGAGAGAGAGAGAGAGAGAGAGAGAGAGAGAGAGAGAGAGAGAGAAATATGAGAGACATATTAGTTGCCTCCTGCATGAGACAGAACCTGCAACTCAGGAACGTGCCCTTGCCTAGAATCAAACCTGAGACCCTTCTGTACCAGGGCCAATGCTCTAACCACTTAGCAAAATGGGCCAGGGCACTTCTTTGCTTTTTATTTCCCCCAATTAATAAGAGGAACCCCAGGCCCTTCTGTGTTGGATAGCACACAATGCCTTTTTTTTTTTTTTTTTTTTTTTTTTTTTTTTTTTTTGTCCTGAAAAAAACAAAACCAAAAAAAAAGAAAAGGTTCATTTCTTGATACAATAAAAATTAGGGTACTCTTACCAGAGCTGAGGGGAGAGTCTGTACTGGACAGTGGGGGACTCCTCAGATGGCTGACAAAATTCTACCTTCCCACAAAGATACTGTTTATATGAGTTTTTACTGCAGTTTCATGGTCCTGTATGTTTGTTTTATGCTATTTTTTGTGCTTGTGTTTTATTTAACCTAAGACATTAAAAGGGATGTGGGGAGAGAGCACATCTTCCCACTGACACTGTCTCCTAGTCATGTTCACCTGTGGACAGCTGTGGGATGCCCCCCACTGCCCCGCCCACTGCCAAGGAAGCAACGCTGGCTCTGGGAAATGGAAGAACCCCATCTCTGCAGAGAAAGGTGTGACGATAATAATCCATTTTCTGAGCACCTACTCCAGCTACAGTTGAAGGATTGTTTTATATATATATATATATTTTTTTTTTTCTCTTCTAATCCTTACAAAGATCCCATAAGACAGATAGTCTCATCTATACATTATCCCCGTGAATAGATGAGAAAACTGAGACACAAAGAGTGGAGTAACTTGTAGTTAGATGCCCGGGTAGACTTCATATGCAGGCAGTCTGGATTTTGCTTACCACCCATTTGACTGGGAAGAAAAAAAAACCCATTGTGGCTACTCGCTGTCCCTGGGTGTCTCGCCTTCCCATTGCATTGAAATAAGAATAAAACATGGTTTGCCAACGAGGGAAGATGATCCTAATTTTGTGAGGCCCCTAGAGCAGTTGTTTGAGCCATTTTGGTTGTGCCAACAGCTCCTGGTCTTATATTCGAGGGTGACACGCCTAGTGACTGCCTGTCCTGAGAGGTTTCCTTGGACACAGGACTTTCGGTGCTAAAACTGGGCACGTTCCAGGCAAACTGGGAGGGTTGGTCACCCTAACTGGTCAGGAACAACTCCCCCAGAACAAAACCCGGGTGACAGCTGGTTCGTGAGCCACAAGCCCCCTCAGAGCTCATACCAAGAAACGGTGAGATCTGGGTGCTCCCAGCCTGGTCAGGCAGGGGCTGCCTGGGATCGAGTTAACTTCCTGATGCAAAAACCAGATTGATCCTGACATCTAAGGGGAAAATGATGGTGGCTAGGAGTGGTTTGAATGAGAACTAAATCTCCACTTCTTTATATTGGGCCATAAATCCCTCTTGGACTCCCCATCAGTCTAGGCCACATTTCATTCCACCGGGCACTCGGAGACAGCACTGTGGGCCTGGCAGACAAGGATTTGTGCTCACTGCTACTGTCCGTTGTGGTGGAGCAGGGCTCAGGGCATCCACAAATGCCATGGGCTCCTTGGCAGCTGACTTGCAGTTGTTAATAGTGTTTGGCTCTTTGTCGGGAGGGATCGGATCCAGCAGAGGCCGTGCGCCTGGCCACCAGCATTCTTTTTTTCTGGTCGTGTGCTGAACAGGAGAGGCAGACATGGGATTGTGGTGCAGGAGGTGGAAGGGAGATGTATAGCCAGAGGCCAGTGGGGAGGGGGCAGGTGCTACAGTGGGTAATGGGGGCAGGCAGGGAAGCAAGGACATAAAAAATGACCACCGTGTGACTCACCTTCCTTTATGTTTCTCATTATATGTGCTTCAATATTCATTCAGCTAATACTCACTAAGCACCTGTGGGGTTTGTGTTCAAGCATGGAGGGTCAGCAGTGAGTACCAGAGATGGAGTCTGTGGAGTAGCATCGGGTGGGGGTGGGGAACGAAGCTTGGAGAAGCCTACATTCGAATGCCCAGGCCTCACAGCCTTGCTGCCTTTGGTGCCTGTTCACTGCAGACTTTATACCTAGAATGTCAGCATGTTCTCTGAAGGATTTGTAAAAACTATATTTTTGAAGCACATTCTTGGGAATGGGGACTGGTAGAGCTGCTCCCCCCACCACCTGTACTTCTTCCTCAAAGAACATCTCTAAGCCAGTCCTCCGACCACCAAGAGCAGCTGTACAGGTGCTCATAGTGCACCAGCTAATTTCCCCCCGGACCTGCCCACCATTTGGTGATACTCCTGCCCACCAGTAGCTACCTGAAAACAATCCTTTCCTCACACTTTGCCAGGGATGAGGCCTTTGAACTTGTTCATAAAAGAGAGCTTACCCTTCTTGACTTCTCCCGAAATCTTGACATGATGCTTTGTTCCTTCTAAAATGCAAATTGATCTTATTATTCTATTCAGACCCGTTTGAGTAGTGGCTTTCAAAGTTTAGTGAAATATATCTTACATTGTGACCCAGCACACAGACACACATCTATATATATATACTAGTAAATATCAGTAAAACTACCTCCTTGACTATTTACACACATTCTCTTTTCTATTGAGGAACATACAGTGGCTGAGAGTATGACAATGTAGCCAGATGCTGAGTTTCAATCTCAGTTCCCCACCTGCTAGCTGTGTAGCTGTATTAGTTTGCTCTGGCTGCTATAACAAAGCACCACAAACTGGGTGGCTTAAAACAACAGCAATTTATTCTGTTACAGTTCTGGAGGCTAGACACCCAAAATCAAGGTGTTGGTACAGTTGGTTCCTCTGAGGGTTGTGTGGATGTGTCTGCTCCATGCCCCTCCGCTAGCTTCTGGTGACAGCCAGCAGCCCTTGGTGTTCCTTAGCTTTTGGGTGCATCGCTCTGATCCCTGTCTCCACCTCGTGGTGTTTCCTCTGTGCTCTGTGTTCCTGTCTTCAGGTGGCCATCTTTTCATAGCATAGCAGTCATATTGGATTAGGGGCCCACTCTACTCCAGTATGACCTTGTCTCAACTAATGGCTTCTGCAACAGTCCTACTTTCAAATAAAGATACATTCTGAGGTACAGAGGGTTAGTGTCTTAGAGAGTTAATATCTGTTTTGAGGACACAGAATTCAACCCACAACAGTGACCGTGGCTACGGCTTTAGTTTCTTCACCTGCAAAATGAAGATAACAATAGTCCCAACCTCTGAGGATCAATGTGTTAATAGAGGATGCATAAAACTCGCAGAACAGTGCCTTGAATATAGTGAAGAATTTATTATTTTCATTCATTATTTTGATATGCTGGTTATGGACCACTGGACTGATTTCACATCCACATTTTAGAGAACATTGCTTTGAATACACCTGATGCATTGCTGTCGTAATAGAATTTCAACTCAACCATGTGGTTTCCAAGGCCTTCATGAAGAGTCCCTGCTGACCACTCGCCCTCCTGTATCAGTCCCCTGAATATGTCACAATCATTCTTGTTCCCGTGGTTTCATGCATGCTCTCCTACTAGACAGCCCATCGCCTAGAAACTCCCACTTTATCCCCCAGGATAAAGAGCATCTCCTCCAAAAAGTCTTCCCTGACCACAATATGTGTGACTGCCCTCCAGTTCTCCCTGCATAACACTCACACACTACATTGTTAATGACAGTTGTTCCCTAGGAATGGCATCTGACTTGTTAAATACTATGTGCCTAACACCAGCTACAGAGCCTGGAAAACTCTTCATTGCCTGCCAATAGCATTTCTTCACCTAACTGAGCCTGATTTTGTTCCAATATCAACAACTCTAGACGATTGAGGGACATCTAAGGGTGAATCATGGTTGTTCTGTTGTACACATGGACACATTCATCCTACCAGGAACTGATCTAGGCATGGGCGGTGTGACCCACTTCTGGTCCATGAGACATGAGGAAGGATTTGCTGGGACAATGTCTGGGAAATATTTCCAGGAAAATTCTAAGCACTCGTGTGAGAGGAACGGGTGCAGGCCTGCCTGGAGGTGAGTGGCGTGGCACCCGTCTCTGCAGCCGTGAGAGGCACCAGGTCCGTGTGAACCTGCGGAGGATGGTAGAGCCAAAGTGTGGGTGGATCAGAGTCCTTGGTAATTCTGCTGATCCTCTACATCCAGCATGTCAAACTCAAAGGCTAACACGGGCCAAATAAACGAGGCATGTGGCCTGCAGGCCACGAGTTTGACATGCTTGCTCTACATTAACCTGCCCTAGAACTGCCCTACCAATGGCCTTCTTCTAATGAGATAATACCTTTTCCTTATTGTTTACTGCCATGTAGGTGATATTTCCTGCCGATTATAGCTGAAAGCAACATAACTGATGCAGACACTCAGTAAATATTCTTGAATGAATAAATGTTTATAAGCTAAACATGCCAAAGGGGAGAAGAGAGCAGAAAACTAGAAAGTTGACCATCTACCAAGAGCCAGGAAGGAGAGGAAACTTTCATGTATATTATTTAATCTTCACAGCAAACGTCACCGCAGCTTTACCCATATTAGGAAACTGCAGCTCAGAGAAATTATGCATGCTTCCCCAAGTCACAGCGTTAATAAGTACTAGAGCTGGGAAATATTTCCTGCTTTATGAGGACTTGTTAAATACTGTGTGCCTACCACCAGCTACAGTGCCTGGAAAACTCTTCATTGCCTGCCAATAGCATTTCTTCATCTAACTGAGCCTGATTTTGTTCCAATATCAACAACTCTGGACGACTAAGGGACATCTAAGGGTGAATCATGGTTGTTCTGTTGTACACATGGACACATTCATCC